GGGTAGGACTTCCCATTTCAACGTTTCCAAGTATGTCTTGACCACTTTCGCAACATGGGGTCGAGCATTATCATGCTGCAAAATCACTTTATCGTGTCTCTCGTTGCATTGCGGCCGTTTGTCTTTCAATGCTCGGCTCAAACGCATCAATTGCGTTCGATACCGATCGCCTGTGATTGTTTCAGTCGGTTTTAACAGTTCATAATACACTACGCCGAGCTGGTACTCACCAAATGTCCCACCAAATACATGACCTTGGACATCAAAATCACCGTTTTTGAAACCACTCACGACACGTTCTTTTACTAATAGCGGCCTCACCATAAGTATTTGAGAGCATTCAATGAGTCTCAGCCGCAGATTTCTTCATATTGAAACAAAAAATTAAAACCTCCCGCAAATGACGAGAATTTGGTTCGTAATCTGACATTTTCAATCGAGAATAACTTTATGATGAAACACAAATCGACAAATGTTTCTATGGGGTTATGTTGACAGATGCCCAAGTTTATGTATTTATTATTGTATGATGTCTATGATCTATTTATTTCGACCACCACTTACCGTTAAAGCCATCTATAGGAAAACGGCGGAAGCAAAGTTGTACACCTAATATTATATTTTTTATATCTAATTACCAGGTATGTAAATATGAAACCGGAATTTTTTTTATAAAAAATACACGTTTATTGAAAATGATAAAAAATATTTTATTCGAAGTATCGCCCATCGATAGCTATACATTTTTTCCACCTGTGACACCTGTTTGACAATATGTGAATGCCACGCCAAAAAAAATTGTTGCTCTTTTGAGCCAAACCAATCATCTAGACATTTTTGTACATCTTCGTAAGAAGTGAAGCGCTGCTGAGCAAGTGCGTATTCCATCGATGCAAATAAGTGATAATCGGACGGAGCCAAGGTCTGGTGAGTAAGCCGCATGCGAAAGTATTTCCCAACCAAATACCTCAATCGTTTCCTTGACCAGTTTTGCTGTGTGTGATGGTGCATTGTCATGAAGCAAAATCACTTTGTGTTGTCTTTTTTGATATTCCAGTCGTTTTTCACACAAAGCTTGATTCAAATTGATCATTTGTTGTCGGTAGCGTTCAGTATTAACGGTTTCGCCAGGTTTTAACAGCTCATAATAGATCACACCTTTTTGATCCAATCAAACACAGAGTGTCTTCCGTCCATAGCGATTTGGCTTTGCAGTCGACGTCGATGGTTCGCCTGGAGTTACCCATGATTTTTTACGCTTAGGATTCTCAAAATATATCCGCTTTTCATCGCCAGTCACAATTCGATGGAGAAATGACTTTCTTTTGTACCTGGCGAACAGCATTTTGCAAGTGGTTTTTCGGTTTTTCTGTTGTCTTTCATTCAGTTGTGGAACTCATTTTCCCATCTTCTGGATCTTTCCTATGGATTTCAAATGTATGGAGACGGCTTCTCATGTAACATTCAATTGATCCGCGATTGTTGTTGAGTTTGAGCGTCATCCTCATCCAACAATGCTTGCAATTCGCTGTCTTCAAACTTTTTCGGTGGTTTTCCACGTTCTTCATTTCTCACGTCAAAATCGCCACTTTTGAATTTTTTAAATCACTCAAAGCACTGTGATTTACCAAGAGCATGCTCACCGTAAGCTTTGACAAGCATTCGATGCGATTCTGCAGCAGTTTTCTTCAAATGGTAACAGAAAATCAATGCTGTTCGCAAATCGTAGTTTCCAGGCACAAAATTCGACATGTTCAACGCTATTACAAACTATATTGTTGTATGAAACTTGTATTGTTGTGAGTTGAAAATCTTTGTCAGATGTCAGAACAAGGAAATGGCGCCGTCTGACGGCAACTACGTTGACAGCTATGGCCATCTATTGGTAAATTCCGGTTTCATATTTACATACCTGGTATATGAAAAAAATTTCTAAATTAATTAAACACTATTATTAACTTACCCTCTCCTATTAACATCTCTTACTGAAAATTTGATTCTATATTAGGTCTTTTTCTCTCTATTCAAATTTTTGTCTTATTTATCTCCAAGATACCTGCTCATTCAGTTCGACATCGGGTTCTGAAGGAATTCAACATCATCAAGACTTACTTAATGCCAATATTCCTGTCTCTGCTAACATCTAATTTTTCACAAAACTTTTTAATATGTATTTTAATAACGTTTTTTATGATTAGAGGCGCCGAAGAAAGGAGAGAGCATGATGTCATATTAGAGCATTAGAATATAACATATATATGACTGATCCGCGTCCGTATGCATTTATTACGTAGTGTATATGATTATACGCACGTCCAATATTGTTGTTTATATAAGTATTTAAAAAAAGAAAACAAAAATACGATTTTGTTACTTATGCCAGCGTATAGGCATACTCGAGGTATACTGTGGAAGTGAGAGATCCAGTATTCTCTATTTCTCTGTTTTCGCACACCCTTCACTCCCAAAAAGAAGCTGAGTTAAACCGGAATCCGACTATGGCTGTGATCAAAGTCTCGCTACAAATGCTTTGAAATGTGTGCTTTGATGAATCAAGAAGAAAGAATTTTACAAACTGACCAATTAAAAAATGCTTCAAAGTGTTTGCAATATCGCGTTGACCATACATCATTGATTGAATCTATGCATTGAAGATTGAGATTAAAGGTTAAAGATTAAAATTTCACTAATGAGGACAAAAAGTTTTGACTCTTTTTGTTCTGATTGGTCAAACTTAAATCTTTCAATCTTCAATGTTATTCTTCAATGTGTAATCTGATTCCGGCTTTAGTAATAGATACGCGATGCTGCAAACGCAGCATTTTTTAACTGATTAATTTGTAAAATTCTTTTTTCTAATTGGTCAATCAAACTTTAAAGCATTTGTAGCGACACTTTGACCACAGCCAATATAGAATTATTACATATATGGAATATAGGTATTCGCATCCATTTCCCAAGCGAATAAACATAACTGATTCTTATCTGTGAATCTAATCAATCATGTTTAATGGCTCGATGAATAGATCTAGGTTGCAGTCAAAGTCTCACTACAAATGATTGAAAGCGTTTAATTGATCAATTAGAAAAAAGAATTTTACAAATTGACCAATCAAAATTGTTTTAAAGCATCACGTTGATCGTACTCCTAGTCGTTTTGTCGATTTGAACATGCCCATTGACTCTTTCTTCTCACTTGCCTCTAGAGAATCTCACAGGCCTTTCCACGGAGGATTTAATCCGAAACAGAATATAAGAACCAACTACAATCGAGTATTCCCCTGTTGTTCGACTAACTAGAGTACTAAAAACGTAGATATTCACGTCCACCATTTTTCCTTTTGCCACTCCTTGCTCTGTCCCCATTCCATCACTGAGCTATGATGGATTATGATCATTA